GGGGGGGGCGCCTCGGCGGGGGGCAGCTCCGGCGGCTTGCATCACCGCCCGGCGGAGCACGGCGGCTGGACGGGCTGCAGGGAAAACGCGGGCTCGCTCTTTCCCAAGATACGTGTCTACGTCGGCAATTATTCTGCGGCACTTCCCCTCCCCGGGGTGAGAGAGCAAATCATGCAAATCACAGGTTAAAGGCATCTTTTTGCTACTCCCTTTATCTCACCCCGATGTCGTCAGAGGGGGACGTCTCCTCCCAACGGCGGCGTGTTGCAGTTTCTTTGCTCGGTCCGCAGAGTCTCCAGCAGCAGCTTTGAAACGGGCGCTAATCCTCAGCCCGGCGACTTGCCCTTCTCCGCGCTCTTACAAGCTGCTCATAAACTTCGCATCTGCCTCGGGAGAAGCCGGTTTAGGATTGAAAACACGTTGCGTGTATCTAGTTCCTTCTACCAACACCAAGGAACATACCGCGAGCGTCTGTAGAAATCTCCCAATTATTTTCCATCCTTTCCATACATAAGTAGCTGCAGGGGAGACATCTAAACTCTCAAAGGAACAACCAGGCAGAAACGGTGGCTGTTGGTTGAAGCCAGAGTAATAGATAGCTCCTGACACACCAGCTGTAAAATTGTTTCCCAGGTGTTTTAATGGCAACTAAATAAAATGGTTTTAGCCATTACTGATACCTGACTGCTGCAACTTCAAAGTGTGATGCTTTTCAGAGTGCAAGTGCTGCATTTGGGGGTTGTGGAGTGCTCCCTGCGACAAGCGGTGCTGTAATGGCCATGGCAAGCATTGATAGTGATGGGACAGCTAAGGCCGTAAGGAACAGGAAAGCAAACTTAGGGATGACTAATTAATATTTTATATAGTTTGTAGAACTTGCCAGCGTTAGCTGGAATTGCCATGTCTGGATTTTATGATACTGCCCAGCAAGGCAATGAGGCCTTCAGCTGTGTAACTCCGTGGGTAAATTTACAAGGCTCAAGTTTTAGCACTGGACTAAAGGTGCTGAGGAGGGGAGACCCACACCAAAACCCATAAAAAATCCAAACCTCAAAAGAACTCCATCTGAACCGGACATTCTCTTGTCTGTCTGCGTGCCTGTTACTGCTTTGAGGAAAGAAGAAAAAAAAAAAAAAAGTACAATACGTGTCTGTATGGAATGCTTTAATGTCTATATGATAAAACTAGGGAGATGATTTTGAGGTCAAAGGCACATCTTCCAGCTTCATCTGAAATAATTATCCTGAAAAAATACTGTCTGTTTTACTAATAACGATGGATTTTGACTGTTCTGCCCACGGGGAGCAGTGTATTTTTCTGACACGTTAAGACAAAAACTACGTGTGTTTAGAAATTTATTTCTTTAAAGGTGTTGAAAGAAACTAATGATACTGATTCAGAAGAACTGAAAAAAGCAGAAGAATTCAGCAACAGAGTAAAACCTGTTTCAAACAAATAAAAATATGTTTTTGGCATCTCTTGCTTTCAGATAAGAAGTGTATGTCCCCATTTTCAGACACAGTGAATTCTGTCTCAACAGCAATAATTATATCATCCCCTTTCAACTTCCTGTTTTGCTACATGGCATTCAGAACATGCGTGATGTTTACCTAAACCTGTAGACACCTAGGTCTAGCTGATTCCTATCTACAACTGTAATTATATTGTTCTGCTTGGTACTTGATTTGAATGGTTGGTTCTTACAGGGGGAAAAAAATAAATCTAAATTTAGCTGGCTTCTGATTCTGGTCACCCATTTCTGTACATTTTCCTGATAACCATTTCGTAACAAATAGTTCCTTCCTGTGAAGTACAATCAAATAGCCTCTCGGTCTTTTTCAGCTAAAATAAACAGCTTCAGCCCTTTAAGTTTCTACCTATGAGTAATTTCTTCACCTCCTAAATAATATTCATGTCTATTTTCTTCACTCCAACTGACTTTTAACATATTTTTAAAATTGGGCACCAGAGCTTTATTCAGGAGAGTTCCCCATTTGGGTGATACTGCTTTCATTTCTTGTTCCCAGATACCGAACTTTTAATTCCACAACAAAAAAATATTATTTTTAAAAAATGAATGATGATTTAATTATTTTTAATTTAGCCATTTTTTTTCTCATTAAATTTAAACTTACATTCAATTTAAATTTACATTCAAATTAAATAATATTGTACTTGGAACCAAAATCTGTGCAAAAGCACCAAGAACAATGCCAGTCAGCCAACACTATTTTGTATTATCTGCTGGCACTAATATTTTTGGCCTATTGACATTCTACAGGAGCTACAGGCCTAGATAACTATGGCTTGGATAATTTTTTTTTTTTTTTTAATCTGAGCTTTCTCCATAGACTGACATACACAAAGTACTGAAAGTGGTAAAACAATTCAAATGTTTCATTTATTTTAATTCAGGTGGTCTGTTAATAAAAATAACATACTAATGGTAACTCAGTTAGATAAACACTTTAGGAACATTTTCCTCGTGTATTCTTCTGTATCATTTTCTTGATGTTTAGATAGTATTGCTAGTAACATTAAAATCTCTGATATTTTGGGGGAATTAAATGAAGTGGGCCATGGCAACATACTGAATATTGTTTCTACTTTGGGAAAGTGCTTAGTTCTCATTCTTTCAGTGGTTTAATTTCTTGTCCTGAGCTCTGACTTTCAGAGCCTATTTGGATAAGAAATGTAAGATTAAGATCCTTTCTTCTCTTAAGACCAGAAATCAAAGATGGAAAAATTCCCTTTACTCCAGCATAACTTCAGATCTAGCAATGATTTTCCTCCCTGTAGCTAATGAAGCCAGGATTTAGAAAAGTAGTAACTCGATGCAGCGTTACATGTTTTTGGCTCACAACATGAAGTGCAATACTGACAGAGCTCTTGTGAACCGTTGTGTCAAGTTTCCTCCTGTTGTAAGCAAGCCACCTCATCGTGTAATCCGACTCAGTCATTTCTTGATGAAACCAGATACAGTTTACCTAAAGAAGAGAAGCACAACATCAGGAAAATTAAATCTTATTTTTCATTGTTTAGGAAAAGAAGTTGGTCTTGTCAGTCACCTATTTTAGTGGCATTAATCATTTTAGCGACAGTAATCTCCCAGATTTTACCAATTCCCGGCTTGTTTTTTGAAATGTGTCCATCTGGCCTCGTCTGGCATTTCACTTTCACCCCAGAACATTCCAGCAATTCCAGTTGTGACAAGGCCCCTCACGGACGCTTCGAAGACAAAATATGACTGGAACTGTTTGAGTGGGCAGTGCGGATCTTTACATAGCCACAGGTGGTCTCATCGTGCTTTGACTCAGACGTGTCCCTGGGATGAAACGCTCCTTCCTGGGATCGCCGAAACAAGAGGCGTTTTCGGGGTTTCCTCCTTCCAGGGTGGGCCCAGCTGTGGCGGCCAGCAGGAGAGGCCCGGCAGCCCCTCCGCGGCAGCCGGGCC